TTTAAAGTGTTTAAATTCCCTTTAGTGGAAATACTTAGCTATATGTTTGTGTGTAAACATCTCGCTACTCAAGGTATTATTTTTTGTAGCTTGGAAGTAGATCAGTAACTAATGATAGTTCTATGCGAACTGTTGGAAACCAGAACGGATTAGGGGAGCTGGAACGACCAGTTTTAGAATTTAAGTGAACTATCGGAATATTACTCCGCTCGGCCAAATGACCTCATGGCAAACAAATGAATTTGGTAATAACAGCTCAGAATGGATCGGTCTTCTGCGCTACTTCCCTACCGGCGTCTTTGCAAATGTATTAGTAGTCTAGACATAAGAACAAACTGAACATAAGTCAGATTGTGACATATGCTTAGTCAGGATCCCTTTATTATAAATGTACCTTTCAAACAAAAGCTGGTCCAGAGATCTCTGCAGGTCACTGATTTGCCTCATTTCCCAACATGACCGTTTCGACTATCCCATAAATAACTTGAATGCACTGAGATCTCCACCACTCTCACCACTGTTATAACCCGGATTAAGAGGGACGGTGCGAACACACCAGGTCGTCTCCAACCGTTACTACAAGCGAGTTGCTAATGATCACACGACAGGTACTTGGTAACTGGTGAGTAGTCTTTACTGTTCAAAACAGAATGATGTGCAGATCAGTAACGCGACAGGAATACAAAATTAGTCAGTAGCGTCCGGTAGTGTGGCATACAATGATCCTGAAAACTTTGACACAAACGTCATGCAAGCCAGATTGCACCATGTGGACTCACCGAAATAATTACGCCAGAACAGGAACACGATCGTTCAAACGAGAGTGGTGTGACTATGAACGAAATACCTATCCCGCAAAACCCCAAATATAATAATAATTTTTCATCTGTAACACCATTTCGGTGCCTGGCTGCCATGCGATCCGTAGGGGGTGAGGAGTTGCCAGGTTGTACAAACCTAGATAACGCTGGTTTAGATGCTGAGGTCGGGTTCAAAGCATGAATGTTCCAACCTCAGTAAGTTAGCACCTTAGCCACTAAGCTATTTCAGGACCAGAATCAATTGATTACTAGCATTGTAAGCAGGTTTACCACAGCAGAGCAGTTCATGGATTTAAGCGCTGTCCAACCCTTTCGCCGAATTAGTAAACCGATGAGCTTAAAATCACCCAATAGCGTCTCTCTACCAGCGATTAACAGAGAAGTGATTCCGTCTAGTGGATTGTAGCACGACTATTGATCAGTTCTCTGAATTTGGGCTTTCATCCACAGCAAACTTCCGTTCACAATGCCCTGATGATGTCACCTGGACTAGTGTTAAGACGTTTGCAATCAAATTATCTAACTCAGTGGACAAATCAGTGGTCCAAGCTACCAATATTCTCCTCAGTTGTCCGGACCGTGGCAAATTTTGGGGACTTTGTAGACACAATTTGATTGATACTGGCAACCTTTAGTCAAAGTGCTTACAGTGGTGACATCCGATAGAATACTAGCGGAACAAATATCTACACTGTGTTAGAAGCGTAATCAGGCAGTCAAGACCCATTCTTTGGAACAGTATTCAATCTATAAAGACCATTCGAAAAGCAAATCCTACTTTGTAAAGCATCATCATTGCAGTAAGTAAAGTTGATTTCAATGCAAACGAACGTAAAATGACGCATGCGAAATATCGTTTTTTCAACACTGCTGGTGTTCAGTTGGTGCTGATAATGGTTGCGATAATGGTGATAATGATGATGATGATGATATTGACAAGAAAGATAGCGCGGTTATGGAATCATGCTCCAATGGACTTGTCGCAAAACGTTTGCTCTTTTCAAGCTTCAGTAACAGTGAGCGAAAAAAGTGCTCTAAATTGCCAATAATTGCCAAATTCTTGAGTGGAATAGACCAATTCATTGTAGGCTTTTTGTCGTCTGCCTGTGCGGAAACACTCGAGAAAAACCTGGGTGAAAAACCACCCGTCTTATAAAGGGGTTGCTTTAAATCACGTATCATGATTGACCTACCCAACCTTTGCAAAAAGTCAAGCTTCAGGCT